TACAAAAAACAAATAGCTAACTACTTGCCTCCATCCAGTATTTCACAATGTTTTCACGGGAGGTGCAGTGTTCTGGCCATACTCCAGAGAAACAATCTTCCGCCCATTTTACATTTCAGCTGGATGCAGTACAGCTACCTGCTTCCCATACATCAGCCGACTGGAGTTGCTGAACACTTTGCAACAGCATCCGTGTATGCTGAAGGTCTGTTTCACCTCTGAAATTGCCACGCTTACCAGCAACTTGACAGACTAGTTCATTTGGAGGCCAACAGTGTAACAGATCCCAGTCAGGGCACTTCACCATATGAACTGACATCATTTCACCGTTCCAAGTGAATGTATTTTATAAACTGTTCAATATCTTTTAGTTATCCAATCTAATTTGATCCAGGGTGGCAATAAAGACTACAAAACATACATATGCGTGGACATCAGCGACCCCATCTCTCCAAAGGCCACACAATAAACAGACAGTTCCAAAGAAAAATTACTAGCCTCTAGTCACAAAGCTAAACAGATAGCTAAGCAGACAGTATTTTGGAAACATGTGCCAGGGACTGATCTTAGACAGAGGAGAAATTTATTTCTATTAGTAAATACTAACGTTGTACACAGCTTCATAGAAAGAGAATAAGGACCATTTGATATTTATTTAGGAACGCCAAGAAAAAAAACAAGTTATCTGTTTATTTGCAAAGCTGTATCAGAAAAAAAAAAGCATCATGTTTAGCAAATATTTTTATCATTACTGCGAAAAGGGGCCAGGGTTTGAATGGGTAATGGATATTGAATTATCTTCTGACTTAGGGAATTTTCTCTGTGATTCCATGTTGCAAAACATTGCAGGAAGTTTGTTCTGCCACTGCCCTAGCCGTGCTTTTTTCTGTTGATAGAAGTGTGCTTGAGGGTGTTATCCACCTAATAAAACCAAAGGTTTACAAAAATACTGGTTGCATTCTCTAGTGATTCACACCATCTGCAAATCTCATAACTCCAAGTGTAAGTCAGCAAGGACTTTGCCCCAGTTTAAACACATACTGAACAGATGAGATTGTGATGACAACATATGTTTCAGTACAGCTACAATTGCAATGATATTTATAAAACTTGTTTTCATTACCCGCACTCTCTGTGCTCATCTCTCCAGACAATAACAGCTTTGAATAACGAAGCATCCACGTAAGATTGAACCTGAATTTTGTTTTCTTCTGATGCTTATGCACCCATCAAACTGAAAAATTCACCTATTAATGGTAGGAATGAATTATGATCTCTCACTTTTAGGGAAGATACTTTTTTTTTAATCACTGAGCTCTTACAGAAATATATTTTAATTGAGAATGTGATGTTTTAAGGTGGCAGTGGAGTTGGTGTGGGTGTGAATTCAGTGACAGCAAAGAAGTTGGATGTTATTGCTTATTGCCATCTCAGGAAAGTTAAGATAAAACAGAACTTGATGACAACCACACTAACCACAGAACAGAACAGTAACACTTAACATATGCTTCCTTGCTCACCACCCTGTCAATGCACCACAACCCCATCTTGAAGAAACTGTCTTTAATGGTTCATTTAAACAATTTTTCTACCCCTCCACTCTCACGCACAGCTTTCACAGCACCCATACCGGCAGTTCATAGGCTGTCTGCAAGTCAGCACATGGGCAGAAGGCGGACAGCTTTAGAAGCATGCTGTTTTCTTAAACATCATGCCTGCCCATCAACTGCTGTATAGACATATTTACTGTGTTTGGGAAATAGTGTTGAACATTTATCATGTTTGAACCATGTTGATGCAAGCTGGGTGAGTTACTTGGTTGGATTTTGTTGAGCAGAAACAGAAACAGACAAAACGTGAGAGAGACAGTCAGTCAGGCAAGAATGCAAAAGGACCTGAAATGGAATGTAAGTCACTGTCTTGACACGATGGAGTACGGGGAGCCCATAGAGAGATGCAGAGAACAGTGACATCGACAAAGCAGCTTAGCTATGGTGTCCACCTGGCAGAAAGCTATGTCCTCTGCACTCGCCAGAATGGATGTGGCAACCCAGACAGAGCTCCCATGAAAACATGCTGCCGTCCAGGTCTCAGGCTGCAGGGAGTGCCAGAGCCTTTTGCTGGTAATGGATGGCAGTAGTTAGAACAGCTGTGTGAGGTGTGACCAGGTGGACGAGCTCAGCCTGGTGGCAGAGCTACGAGAGGAAGTAGAAAGGTTAAGGAGCATCAGGGAGTCTGAGAAAGAGATAGACTGGTGGAACCATGCTCTGCCCTCCCTGAGACAGAAACAGTCACCAGAAAAACCCCTAGATCAAGGGGATCCTGTATCCTCCCCCACTAAGCTGAAGGCAGTAGCTTAAAGAAAAGGAGTGAATGGAGGCAAGTCCATGCTCGGGGTGGCAGGTGAACCCCCTCCTTGCCCACCTCGCCTTCCCAGGTGCCTCTGTACAACAGGTATGAGGCTCTGGATGTGGAAGGCCAATCAATGGATGACGTGGATGATGGTCCATCTACACCAGAGGTGTTGCCAGGGTCAGAAAGGCCTACCCCCCATATCATGACCACCTCCACGAGGAAGAAAAGACAGGTTATAGTTGTAGACAACTCCCTTCTGAGGGGAACAGGGGGTCCAATATGCTGGACAGATCCTCCTCTTAGGGAAGTTTGCTGCCTCCCTGGGGCCCGGGTTAAGGACATCACTAGGAAACTTCCTAGCCTGGTATAGCCTTCAGACTATTACCTATTACTGCTGTTCCATGTGGGTGGCGATGAAGCCGCAACATGTAGTCCAAGGGTAATCGAAAGAGACTTCAGGGCCTTGGGACGGTTGGTAAGGGAATCTGGAGCACAGGTCATTTTTTCCTCTCTCCTTCCAGTTGTGGGCAGTGACATTGGAAGAAACAGATGCACCCAGTCTATTAATACATGGCTCCATAGCTGATGTCACCACCACAATTTCAGGTTTTTCAATAATGGGATGGACTACACAGCACCAGGCCTGCTGACGTCACCCTTCTCAAAGGGGGAAGAGGGTCTTTGTTTACAAGCTAGTGGGGCTGATTGACAAGAGCTTTAAACTAGACTTGAAGGGGGAGGGGGATAATATCAGGCTTGCCTGTGACAAGCTGTGGGATGACATGCCAAGGTTAGAGGAACGGGGTGCTAGCAAGGGCCCTCAGCCTGTTGCTCTGAGAAGTGCTGGCTACGCTGCAGCACACTTGAAGTCTTACAGAGATGAACTGGGGCTTCTGAGGTAATAGGAGCCAACAGGGAAACACCAGTGAAATACCTCAAAGGAATTAAGGGGTGTCCCTCTAAGAAGGTGACATGGCCGACAGCCCAGCTGAAGTGCCTCTACATGAATGCACGCAGCATGGGCAACAAACAGGACGAGTTGGAAGCCACCATGCTACCAGAAAGCTATGACCTAGTTGCCATTACTGAAACTTCGTGGGACGAATCCCATGACTGGAGCGCGGCTATCGACGGCTACAAGCTGTTCATAAGGGACAGGTGAGGAAGGAGGGGCGGAGGGGCTGGCCTCCACCACAAGAAA